CATAGGCAGCTTCATGGACTTCGTCACGATCAGCTCTGCCTACTTAGACGTCGCCACTCTCTGACCACTTCACCCTGTACAGTACCCTGCTTGTGTCGCATGATGGTCTCCCTTTAGTCGGGTTCCTCTTAGTTGGGCTCTCCCTTGGTATACGCATAGGCATCGAGACCGTAGCATTGCCTTGGCTTCCCACCTTACGGATCTAGCTCCGACTTCCTTCACTCTAGGAGTCATTTGCATGATTCTCTTACCCATCATCTTTCTACCCTTCGCCGGCCCTCACGCCCTAGTTAGGCAGCCCCGCATGCTTCATCTAGGTGCGCCCTGTATACCAGGCTCCCTTGTTCCCTTGCATGGTCGACCCTCCATAGCGGTCACCCCTTAGTCGAGCATTACCCGCCCTGATGGTCTATCTGTTAGGGTCATTGGTTCTGTTCGCTCCCTACCCTCATTGAGCCTGATAACATGTGTTTTCCCCTGTCACTATGTGTGGATGCCCTTAGGAGTTTTCAACCCCTAGGTTGTGTTCGCCACCCTCAGAGACCACCCCACCTTTTGGTTTGCAACACACTTCTCATGTGACATATGGTTGTCTTGTTGATTGCTTTGTTGCTCTCAGACTGAGGTTACTGCCTCCGACATTTCTAGGATTTAGCTGTTCTGCTTTTGCTGTTCTTAGGACTTATACACYAGTCAGTTGTTACCAGACTGAGGCTAGTGCCTCCAACATTCTAGGATCTAGTTGTCACTACTTTCTGCTTTCCTAGGACATGTATGCTAGTTAGTTGCTTTTTCTTTCCTAGGACATGTATGTTAGTTAGTTGCTTCTACTTTCACTTAGGATGTTAGCTGTGACATTGCTGTTTTGTGACATTTTATATCCTAGGTTGCATCGCATGGACTCAACATGGAGCTTGCTCCGCATCCTAGACTACTCAGGTTTTCTTTTCTTTAGTAGAGTTCCGCTTCTTGGTGGAAGCATGTTTGTATCTAGGCGATCCATCACAGGCCGAGGATTGTGTAGCGGACCTCAGGTTGGCCTGTGAGACCAGCCCCTTGGCCTGTTCTCAAAGACCTGTGTTGTATTCGGGGTAGGCCAGTCCAGGCCGGTACCTCTGTCGGTACCAGCCAGTCCAGTCCAGTCCCGTCAGTCCGCTGGGGTATACCCCAGCCATTGTCTGTTTTCAGTGTCATTCTTCACTGGCACATTTTGGAGTACGTGCATTGGAGTCTTGCATGGGGAGCTGCGTTGTGCCATCTCGCTCCCCCCTTCTTCCTCCATCTCCATCTCCGTCACTAGCGGAGCACCACACCTGGTGGGTCCGCTACACTCGACAAGGCACTTTCTGTCGAACCCATCCCCGACCGCAGCTTCACACACAACAAAATGAGCAGAAAAAACAACGAAAACAAAGTCATCTTACCAATCTACAGTAGTTTTCAATTCAGCAAAGTTACGCACCCGTATCCTATTCAATAACCCTAATGTCTCATCTTTCAAATTCTTTCAAATCACCTTCACTACCTGCATACCACTACTCCTAAAGCTTATACAGGGGACCCCTCCGAACATCTGAAAAAAAGGCAGGAAAAAGTAAGTGTGTGTGTGTGTGTGTGTGTGTGTGTGTGTGTGTGTGTGTGTGTGTGTGTGTGT